TATAGGTCCAAAGCAGTTTCTTTATTTATCAGTGGTAATCACGGCACACAGAGGGGACTCCCACATCAACTAACTCATCCGGTTTTAAAAATGGAAGCATGCCCTGTATAAAGGAACTAAAATTATATAATCACAGTAGTCAAAAATAGCTAGTTAATATTTTGATGTATTCCTTCGTTAAGTAAATTGTCTCTTTTTAAAGATCTTTTTTTATGCATATGAAGTGTTTTGCCCACATGCTGTTTGGTGCCATGTACTGCCTGATGCTCATGGAGGCCAGAAGAGGACATCCCGGGAACTGGAGTTACAGACAGTTGTGAGCTGCCATGTGGATCCTGGGAACTGAAACTGTGTCCTCTGCAAGAGCAGCCACTGAGCCACCAAGCCACTGAGCCACGTCTCTGGCCCTCATTTCTTGTTTCTACAGCTTAAGCTCATAGCACATACGTTTTAAAGTATGGTTGACAAAAGTTTGACTGAATGGCCAAAGAAGTGACAAGTATTTGCCAATCCAGTTATCTACGGCTTTCGAGAGGCATCAGACACACAGGAATACACGTCGGAGGAAAGCACAAAGTAAGAGATTAAAATGCTGGTTTTATATAGTTGAGTCTATGCCGCACAGAATAATAGACATAAGACAGTCTTATGTCACTTAAATTATACTCACATTATTATACTCACAACAATAAACACACACTGTGATGGGTAAGGGAGGCTGTTGACAGAAAACTGTCTGTTTTAAAAGATGTAGAAAGTTGTTTATTTGGGGCCTGCAAATGGATTCAAGTTTCCCTCAAAGACATGTTTTACTATGGAGGAGGCTACATGCATTTTTATAGTCAAATTCATTGATGTGGTGGGAATACTGGCTAGCCTAAATGATTTGATAAAGTCTCTTTTATGGGTTTTAGATATCCTAGCGTTTAGTTTCAGAGGTGGTGGGGAGTAGAGGCCTGCTAAGCTTAGTGCGAACTGAAAAGGTTATCTGATAGAATTAGATCAGATACAAGATTTAAGGTAAGTGATCATTAAAGGGCATAAGATAGCCAAAGGTAATTTTGCCCGGTGTCATCCCATCTCTTCACGATCACCAGAGACTAGGTAGCCAAGGTCTGGTAGTCTGCAGGATCTTTAAAAAAGATAAAGAAGAAACCAGAGGAGAAAAATGGGGCCATCAGTGAGTGGGGAGGGGAGGAGCAATAGAGAAAGGAATAGCAGGGTACAGTGGTGTGAAAAGGGCGAGGGAGGCCTTTAATTAAGGAGGAAGACAGAGATTAATACACAAGAGCGCTATGTCCAGCATGGCTCCAGGGACAGACATGACCAGCACGGTGAGGGAATGAAGGAAAGATAGATAAGTGACATAAAGAAAAGCCAGGGAGCTGGGTGGTGGTGGCGCACGCCTTTAATCCCAGCACTCGGGAGGCAGAGGCAGGCGGATCTCTGTGAGTTCGAGACCAGCCTGGTCTACAAGAGCTAGTTCCAGGACAGGCTCCAAAACCACAGAGAAACCCTGTCTCGAAAAAACCAAAAACAAACAAAAAAAAAAACAAAAAAAAACAACCCCCCCCCAAAAAAAAACAAGAAAAGCCAGGGTTGGAGCTGGAGAGATGGCTCAGGGGTTAAGAGTACTGGGTACTCTTCCAGAGAGCTTGAACTCAATTCCCAGCACCCAAATGGCAACGCATAACTGTCTGTAACTTCAGGGGACTGGATACTCATGGCAAATAAATAAAAATAAATAAATTTTTAAAAAAAGTGAGGGACAAGTGGTCTGGGTTCTTGGTTGGGGAAACATCAGTGTTTATATACAGGGTTTCATAGAGAGTTGGGATTATTACATACAGATAAACAAGGGGGCAGAGTTTATGGTGTAGATCTAGAGCAAGGACAGGTTTAGCTAATCTTGGTAGGAGCAGCCTCCGTAGAGGAGCAATCTCCAGGCCATAGCATCAGTGGGAAGAAAGCTATGGTGGACATTCTCTTCGCGCAGTGTCAACATTCATACCAGAGGAAGCTTTGCCATTCGTCTCTCAGTCTGAGGCTGTGATTTCCTTGACATGGCCACGTCACTGTCAATAGAACGTCACTCACGTAGGGGGTCCTGCTCCCTACAGAGACGGAGGAGGGCAAATTAGCAGTAAGGATGGCTGAAAAGTCACAAGGAACCACATTCTTTTCTGCTTATAATTAAGTATAACAAATATAATGCATATATGTATATTATCATATATATATATTATACATAAATATAGTTTAAGTAAAAATTTCCAATCTGGGCTGACAATACTTCCCCCAAGAGCCATAAACTATCTAATACCAGGTATGAGAAGCCCCTTTTGAGTTGTTGGTCGCGGCTGTCCAAGTGGTCCCTAAAACATACAGACAATTGTTGTTGCCCTTGCCTACTTCCTAGAGGGTGAAGATAAATCTCTATTGTTATAGATACCATGCACTTAGGACAAAGGACCCATAGGATCAAGGCAGATTCTGACCTGAAAGTCCCAAGGACTAGCTTTCAGGGAACCAGAAGGCACCATGTAAGCTTCCAAGGGAGGAACACAATAGTCCTACTGAGCTGTTATGCCTATGGACTACAAAAACGACTGGCATAACATTTTATACATAAAAGTGCAATAAGTGCCTTTCATCCTTTGTAGTAACCAAAAGCATTTTATTTTAATTTACTAGGCTCCCAATTATTTTATAAGAAGTTTTTTTAAAAAATGGGAGCGGGGTTCAGAAATTAGTGTTTTTTTTTTTTTTTTTTAACAGTTTTGGGATTTTTTTTTCCTTGTTTTTATTGCGCTATACATTTTTCTCTGCTTTCCTTACCAAACCAACAGCTTTTAAAAACCTACTCTACAAGGTACTGGAAACCTGCTAACCATCAAGGGTTAGTGATTTCATGGATCTTAGAGGAGAACTACAAGGGTTCATCTGTTTGAATACTTGGTCCCCAGTTGCTAGAGCTGTGTGGAAAGGATTAGAGGGTGTGGCCATTTTGGAGGAGGTGTGGCCCTGTTGGAGGAGGTCCATCCTGGAAGTGGGCTTTGAGATGTCAAAGCAGAAGGGGTGGAAAGATTTTCAGAGCTAGGACAGGAAGTTTGCTGTGAGATCGTGTCACCTAGAAATGTCTGAGAAGCTCCACTCATGACATCTCATCATGCTGCTTTAGTGTGACCTGAACAAGGCTGACACCAACAGACAAGCTAACATGGAAGGGAACTATCTCCCAGGGTCCTCACTCTAGACAAAGCACTAGGCAACCAAGGAATGCTGCCAGTGGGAGAAAGAACCTTCCCAGGGAAGAGCTCCCAAATTAGTTATCTAATTAATTTTTATGTGTATGTGTTTCTGTTTGTGTGAATGTATGCCATGCTTGTCCAATGCCTCCAGAGTCCAGAAGTGGACGTTGGATCCCCTGGAACTGGAGCTACAGTCAGTCATCAACCACATGACAAGGAATTGAACTGAAGTCCTTTGAAAGAATCACAAACGCTCTAAACTGCTTAGCCATCCTTCTAGCTTCCATAATTGAAATATTTTAATTAACTCAGAAAAAAGGCAAGATAGAACAAAAGATACAAAATGGATTAACCAGAATAAAACAACAAAACATAAATATGATAAATATAAGTCTAAATTTTAGCAGTTATTATATTACATGTAAATGTACCAAAATATTTCCAGTGAAAACATGATAAAGTTGGTCTCTTTGACTTTTGAACTGACCTGCAATGCATAAAACATGATTACCAAGGATAGCTGAAAAGCAGGGATCTCTAGAGCATATTAAGGTGTGGATAAGAACTGGAGAGAAGCTATGTCTACAGAGACTGAGTCATGCGAATGTAGCGCCTCGGGGAGAATGGAATGTTGCTGGTCCAAAGGCTAATCACCTTTTCTTGAGCTAGCTTTAGCCGGGAACAGCTTCCTGTGATTGATAGATAAGAACCTTCTGAAATTTTAGTGTAGCAGACTACTACCAAGCCCAGAGCTAAGAATGTCTCCAGATAGCATCTGACACCTACCGAAAAGCTTCTCCCACCTTGCTGTAACCACTTGGCTAAAGAACCCACCACTGTATTTGAAACTTGCCTTGATTTAGGACTCTCTTTGTTCTGTAAAACTCTAAAATATCATGAAATTGCTTCCACATTGGAACACGGAATTTCAGGTAACCTAAACCCGTGTTCCCAAGCTGTGGTCATTTCGAGCAGCTCCAGAATAAAGCAACCCTCATTCCCTCTATGATGAGAACGGTGGGCTTTTTATTGACTATTATGGAGTCACAACATTGGGCTCAGAGAATGGTCAAGTGTTCGCTGGATGAGCCAAGCACCTGCATCGCTCCCTCCCGTTTTGGTTGATGGTTTGTCTATTCTGAGATGATTGATTAAGGACCTAATTTGATAACTACCTATTTGGTCTGCTTTCAAGAATTTCATTTAAGGTCTCTTAGCTTGTTTGCTTTGAAAGCATTTTAAGACATTTTGTTCTGTTTTGTTTGTTTCCTTTCTGGTTTCAAGAGGCATTTTTTTTTTTTTAAATTTGAAGGCATTTTGGTTTTTTTTTTTTTATCATCATTTGGCCTCTGTTTACTGACACTCCTCAAATGTCTAATTCTGTTTCTGCCCTGATTTTTCTCCGGTGATATTGTCAGACTTGTAGCTTAAGCATTTTATGAGTGCCTGATCTGATCATGAGGACACCAAGGAGGCACTTGTCCCTTCCTATCCGAGTGTCAGGGAAACACCCCACAACATGCAACAGAGACAAACCATATTCTTAGGTCAGACAGAATTTTATTGGAAGACACATAAAAGGGACTTATTGGCCACCAATGTCTGGAACACACATTTGTGTATATAGGCAAGATAATCCTCAGGTTCGGTGGGAGAAGATGGTGATTTTAGGGTCGAAGTTGAGAAAGCAAGCCCCAAAAGTAGCACATAAAACCAACCCAAACACACATTCCCTAGGTAGCACAGACAAGCAGATTTTCTTTTGACTTAAAGGGTATCAGAGGCAGTTTATTCTGGAGCCATTCTGAGTGACTGTGGCCCAGGAACACAGATGTAGGTTACCCCAAATTTCATGTTCCAACATGGAAGGAAGTTCACAAAGTTTTACATAGTTTTACAGAACAATGGAAGTCATAAATCAAGGCAAGTTTAAAATACATTGGTGGGGAAATCACAGAGGCAGGTATAGCAAGATGGGGAAAAGTGTTCTATAGGCCTAATATGCTACCTGGTGACATTCTTGGCTTTTAAGTTAATAAATTACAGGTTTTATCTATTATTCACCTTTGACACAGAGGTAGGCAAGGAATAGCTGTTGCGGGGCTAACGCTAGCCCAGATTAGGTAATTAGTTCCTAGACCTGCAGCATTGCAAGCTCTCCATCTCATCTGCAGCCAGGCTCTGCGGACACAGCTTCTGTCCAGGATCCTCATACAGAGTTATCCCTGTGGACCAAGGACCACATTTTGTGCACGTGGGAACCATGTTATTTGTTAACTATTATAAGGTCATAGCCTAGCTCACTCCTGGGATCTGATGTAGATGAGGCTGAGGAGTGGGCTGGATAGCTCTTTTCAGATGAATAGCCATTAAGAAAGAAACTCCTGATCATATCACAACTATTAGCCATTATGACACATATATGAATTGTTTTTCTTGCGCCCTCTTTATCTGACATAACATTTACATGTGACATATATAACAGCATTATCAGACCAAAACTTAAGTAATTCAGTAATTGTGGCCTAATGGTGTGAAGGTAATAGATCAAGGTCGCATGTCTAAAATAACAAAACTTTGCCTAATTTACAATCTAGATTGACTGTATGTTGCCCCAGTATTTACAGTTATTTCAATTCTATGAGCTATCTCACTTGTATTTAAATGCTTAGAAACAGAACTTTGAAAGGAGCCACTATAGTATTGCCTCCCCACTTAACTAATAAAATACAAATACTCTTTAATTCATTTTTAAATCTTGGCTAATTGTCCTTGTATCCAAAATTAAACATCAGAACTTAAGGTAACTGCATCAGGAATGCTGTTATTAGAGATTGATGCCTTTTGTATAACTTGGATAAAAATGGTTTTAACACAAGTCTTTGGGTCTCTCTAGCTAGAGTAAGCGGAGTTCAAGTTTAATTGAAAAAATAATTTTTTCATTTTATCCAAATATAGATAATATGTGTGCATACACACACATATGTGTATAGTGAAAACTCCTGAATCTTTTAAACACCAGTTTTGAATAAGGTAGGGGCTTAGGGTCGACAAAGTCATAACAAAAAGGCATGATCAAATGAAAGCATGTAATATCTTCACTGGGAACTTTATGAAAACCAAGGTTAGTATTATTTTATCACTTAGAAATGTTTCAGGTAAAAAATACTCAAAATCATAGAGAATTTTAAGATCTAATTACAAAAGCCTTTTTTTTCCTTTTAGATAGTCATTGCTTTAACTATAAAAAATTCTCTTTGGAGAGTTATACCTATTTTGAATATTCCTACCTAATTAGTGATTGTGAAACTTGCTTTAATGAACAAGTATTTAAATGTTTATACAACTTAGTCTATTAGATAACATATAAGACAAATATCATAAAGGGTTTTAACTGTGATAACTAACACTAAAACCACAGCCTTCATCTACGGATAAGGAAAACCAGAAAACTTCATCAACTAAAAGGAAGACAGCCGTACATCAAAGGCTCCCTTCCGACGGAAAGATCAGCACTGTATCCAGGCACTGAGTTCACCCCTGCGAAGTTCAAAAAAACGCCAGATGATACTCATCTTCAACATCACTGACCACTGAGTACAGAGTAATGACTGTCTCTTACTTTTTGGTTCTTAAATACTTCAGTAGTTAGATTTTTCAAACTGTCTATGATATTAATATTCCACCTGGTAAATTTCTAAGTGATAAAAAATACTAATCTTGGTTTTAATGAAGTTAAAAATGAAGAAATTATGTCCCGGGCCATAGAATGGATCCAGAATAAGCTTAAACCCTTTAAGATGAGAGCTGTGGGTTTTTTTTTTGGTTGACAGAGGAAATAACCTTCAACTGTCTGAATTGTCTCAAAAAAAATCAACAAACAAAACAAAAATCTCTAACAAAACCTAAGAGTTACGCTAAAATAAATCCTGTTGTTTTTTGCAAGGGAAGAAGACACCTGCAGTCTTCTTCCCTTGCAAAAATCGATTTCTCTTTGTTGCAAAACTTGCAAAGATCTTTGAGTATGCCATTTAGCAACATGTATCTAAAAAAGTCCTATGTGTGTCCATTCTTGAAGGCCAGAGGATGCTACTAGGTGTTTTGCTCCACCCCCCCCCCATATTCCCTTAAAACAGGGTACCCACTGAATCCTCAGCTTAGGGGTTATCCTTCTGTCTCCAAATTTGTCTTCTAATAATACTGTAATGTAACCCAGGACTTGGCAATAAGCGATTAACGGCGACTCAATAAACCTCTCCACAACTGGTTATGTTATCAATGTCAATGTCAGTATAGGGCACTGCAGGCCCTTCATTTGAGTTTTCCAGGCTATTACTAATATGGAAAGGCTTTAACTGTCTACAATGCTTAATCGTCTGGCCAGGAGTTAAGAGTGGAGAAGGGCTACATAGATCTGAAAGCAGAGAATGAGGTTTTGAAGCGAGACATGAGGTGAGGTGTAAACGTATCTCTCAGCAGCTCACAAATGTTTATTCACCAAAAGTGAGTCCTAACCTATGTACATCATGTATGACTCCGAGGATGCCAAAAGCACTGTGGAAGAACATTTGTCTTGGAATGCATTAAAATGATTAGGACTACACCTTAGTGTAAAGTGAAAAGTAAATACCACGTTAGTTAGGAAAAGAAAGCAAACACCAAAGAAATAGCAGCAACTAACAGGTGTTTTTTTTCTTTGTCTTTTTCTTAACGCAAAGCTGTGATAAAATGAGACCCGGGGGAGGAATCTAGGAAGGGGACACAAAGCACATTAAAGTTGGGTAGCAGCAATTCACTTCATAAACTGTTGTACATTTAATGTCTTTCCAGCAAAGGGGTGTGTGTGAGAGAGACACAATCTCTTAAAAAGTTTTTAGTGGATCAAGACAAGACAAAGAAACAGGTAGCCAAGAGACGACAGAACTGGCCTGGCCAAGTGTCACTTTGAGGTTCAGTCATCAGTGTGGACAAGCAGAATCTGCACAGGGCACGAAAGGACGAGAAAGACCCGGGTTCCAAACGCAAGTGTGTGTCACAATAGCTATGTGACCTTGTCTGAGTCCTAGAAATTGAGCTCGGTATGTGCTGTTTCTTATAGAGATGTTTCCAAGGAGGTCTAGCAGGGGACAGGGGTGTGCCTGGGTGGGCATCCTGTTGGTTGACAGGCTGTCCAACTTCATGCCCTCTCCCCTTGCTGGCCAGACTATATTCTTTGAACCACGGGGACTATAAGTTTGAGTGCAGAGGGAGCCGAAAGGTGAGGGCAAAAGAAGGAACTTGTGCCCCTATGCCACCCGCGTCTGCCCGCGCAGCACCGGGGCTCCGGGAGCCACCGTGGAGGCCCCGCACCACTGAGACGGACGCGGTGCAAACCCGGGCGAGAGCAAGTGCCCAGGATTGGAAACAAACGCCGCGCGCGCGGGGTCCTCCGAGCCGCCGAGCTACCGGTTTCGGCGACGCGCCGAAGCCGCCCCACCCAAGCGCCGGGCCCCAAGTTTCCCGGGCTATGTCATCCGGGTGCACCTTCCGCTTCTGGCCTCGCCATCCGCCAGACCTCAGCACCGGGTGGAAGGAGGAGGGACGCCCCCAGCTGTTGGCCTCCAGCCCGGCCAACTCCCGCTCCCAGTCTGGCTTCGGCCTTTTGTACCCGCCCCACGTGACCCGCCCAGCGGCTCTTCCCCCTCCCCGGCCGCCCCGCCCTCCGGCCCCGGCCGGCGACAAGCCCGCTCTTCCAGCTACCGGCCTGCCCTCCTCCCGCGCCCCTCGGCTCCTCCCCTCCCTCCCGCGCAGGCTGTTCCAGCTCCCTCCCCAGGCAGCCGTTCCCTCGCGACGCTCCCCTCCCCCCGCGGCTGTTCCGCCGCCTGGCCTCCCCTCCCCCCAGTCGGAGCTCACTGTCTCCAAGATGGCGGCCGTGTCAGTTTGGGGCATCTCCGCTGTCCGGCCCGGGCCCCCGGGATCCCGGCTGTCTTCCCCCCAGGTAAGTGGCCGAGGGGCCTCCCCCGGTCGCTCCCAGCTGCCGAGCCCGAGGCTAAGCTGCCCCGGAGACTCGTCGGGCGCCTCGCAGGGTCGGCGGGCTGCTGCAGGCCCCGCCGCGGCCTGCGCCGCCTCCCGCTGCTCTGCGCCAGGCCTCGGGCTGGGCGCCGCGGCCGCCCCCTCGCGTCCGACTCCGCGGCCCAGCCCGCGCCACCCGCCCGCCCGGTCCGCGCCTCCGCTTCGCCGTCCCTCGCTCCGCCGGCGGTCCACTCTGGGAGCTGGCGCTCACGGGCGGCCGGCGGCCAGGCCGCGGAGCCTGGGGCTGCTGTGCGGGCTCGCCCGCTCTCCCTCGGGGGCGCGCCCGCCGTCCGCCCGCCGCTCCCGGCGCCGGGCGCGCACTCCGGGCTGTGCCGAGCGCGCGGAGACCCGAGCGGGCTGGAGCCGAGCGGGGTGACAGCCTGGTGGGTGCTGTGGTGCGGAGCAGGCGGCACGTGTGGTGTTGTGTCTGTTGGACTGTCAGCCCCGGGCCGGGACGGGTGGCGGCGGCTTGCCTGTCAAGAGCTCTGCGACTTTGGGCCGGACCTGCCCGACCTGTCAGGCTCCGTCACAGCCGGTGTCCCATCGCTGCTCTTTGGAGCCGGCCCCTTGGAGCTTAGCGCTTGGAGCTGGGGACAGAGCTCACGGTGCTCTTAACTCCACGTGATTTCATTGTTAACTTACTCTTTGGGCTCTGTTTCCATAGAATGGGAACGGCGGAACAGTCCGTTGGCAAACTACTCGGCTCGGCCGCTTCAAGTTTTTAAAGTTCCCTGGGCTTTAAATCGAGGGCGCGAAGATGGGTTTTGGGGTGGGAGATGGAGCGGGAAGGGCTTTTGGAGCCGGCTGGTCTCGCTTCCTAGCAGCTAGTGGACTTTCTGAGAGTTAGGGTTCAGATTCTTAGCGCGTTGGTTTCGCAGACCTGGAGATTTTTGAAACTTCCGGCCGGAAGGACAATGAGTGACTGTCATTCATTCTTTACCTGAAATCCTAACCACATAGGACGTTCCCACCTTCTTAGATCCCAATTCTCATTATTTTAAAGTTAATGTCTTTAAAAAAACTTTGCTGGAGTAGCAATCCTATTTATTCTCTAAAGACCTTCTCCAAAGTGAAGCTTCTTTTCCCCCAGGGGACTTCTTTTAGCTAGCTAATTTTGAAATAAACTTTGGCCCCAGGTACTAATTTTTTTTTTTTTTGGTTTTTTTTTTTTGCACCCTTCGCTTTCTTACCAGAGTTATAGTACTGTTTCTTCCCCAACATGTATCAATTTTCCTTTTGCTTTTAATGTCACTATTAAGAATACTTGCTGGAGGACCTTCCCCCAACACCCCCTTAGCTGTATTTAGATTGTACATGCTCTCCAGAATAAGAGAAGTTCAAAGTTAAACTTGGTTTTGGAGGGAAAAGTTTAGAATTCACATTATTTTAGTCATTAAGAAATGTGTATTTGCCGGATTCTTGACCCAGAAAAGTAGTCTGTTTGTTTTTGTTTTCCTGACTGTTCACTCTGAGATAGTAATTCCCAGTTCATGTCTTTATCAGGTTCACTTCTCTATAAACACACAGACAGGCAATATTTATTTTCCATATTATACATTTCATGTGTAGTGTTTGCATCTGATTCCAGGGATTCCAGGCCTTATTTTAGTTTATCTGTACATTGTTTATAAATAAGCATGTTGTCAGTTGTTACTCCCTTCAGTATACAGGTGTTAGTAAAAGTTTGAAGAAAGTTGGATTATTTTAAAATTCTTTAAGCACTTTCACACCAAGATATTTTCACTGTTTTTGTTTATGTTAATAACCTTATTGTGATACGTGAAGCATGCTGCCTTTTTTTAGTATATGGACTAGCCAAATTGTCCTCAGTGCTTTTCTGCATATCTTTTTTTTTCTGCATATCTTATTGGCTATTTTTTTCTTCACTGGAATTTTGAAAGATGATTCACTCTTGCTTTCATTGCAGGATTCTTTCTACTAACTCAGACACTTGTTGAAGTACTGAATAGTTTGTTGGGGAAAATTATGGTGGAAGAGTTGCACCCATAGACTGGTGAGCACAGATTGCGGAGGACAAGCTAGCACTCCTCTGGTTAGTTATAGCTTAAGGTCACTCCTGGAACATCTCGTTTTATTTCCTCATTTTACCTTAACTACTCATATCTTTTTTTTTTCTTTTGTGTTTATTCTAGTGGTTTCCAGTGCTTGTTTTGGAATTTTGATAGTATGATATTTAAATTCCAAAGGGTGCTTGATAAACACGTTGCTTTAAGAAAAGCCTAGGATGTTTCAGTTGGTGACTTATTTCTAGAGTGGGCCTTGATGGAAAACTGACATTATTTTAATTGCTTTTCAGGCTTAAGATGCTCATTTTCTGCTTGGAGCTGTGAATGAGATGTTCGGAGTCCGAGAGTATGAGTGGAGTACAGACCAGTGTGTGGTGCTATTGAGGAGTTCGAAGATACTTCAGAAACAACACGTTGTTTTGATTTTTAAGGTAAAATTAGGTTGCAGTTCTGTTTTGTGAAAGGAGGGAAGACTCAGGCCGGAAATCTTGTATGCTATGGTTTACTGGTCCCCACCCTCCGAGAATCTTGTTTCCCACTGTGTAAGACTCACTCAGCATCAGGATAAAGGGTAGCAACTCTATGGATATACGGAATCCCTCACCATGGTAAAACTCGCTAACCCCTTGTACACGGAGTGGATTTTGGAGGCCATCAAAAAAGTAAAGAAGCAGAAACAGCGGCCTTCAGAAGAAAGGATTTGCAATGCCGTGTCTTCATCCCATGGCTTGGATCGTAAAACTGTTCTAGAGCAGTTGGAGTTGAGTGTTAAAGATGGGACAATTTTAAAAGTCTCAAACAAAGGTCTCAATTCCTATAAAGATCCTGATAATCCTGGGCGAATAGCACTTCCTAAACCTCGAAACCATGGAAAATTGGATAATAAACAAAGTGTGGATTGGAATAAGTTACTCAAACGGGCATTTGAGGGCTTGGCAGAGTCTGGAGGCTCAACTTTGAAAAGTATTGAACGCTTTTTGAAAAGCCAGAAGGATGTGTCTGCTGCCTGTGGAGGCAGTGCTGCCTCAGGCTTTCACCAGCAGTTAAGATTGGCCATCAAGCGAGCCGTTGGCCATGGCAGACTCCTTAAAGATGGACCTCTCTACCGACTCAACACTAAGGCAGCCAGTGCTGATGGGAAAGAGGGCTGTGAGTCGCTCTCTTGTTTACCTCCAGTGTCACTGCTTCCACATGAGAAAGATAAGGTAAGAAACATTGGCATCGGTGTTGATGGTGCAGTTTAGAATAGGATTCACGGTCACATTTCTAGGGTCAAGACTTGGGGAGCTTTTGTGAGTTCTCACTGTGAAAGCTTAGTAGATGCTAATTGTTGTAGTACTTTAAAGTCTTTGAAGTCTAAGACTCAGAGTATAGAATGTTGACTTAATTATAAGAACTAACTTAGCTTAGCATGAAAACTTTTGATTGAAGGTTCTTCTAGTACCTTACAGCTGCAACTTGATAAAATTAGAAATACCGGAGACTTGGCTTTGAAATGAGTGGTTCACTCCAAGGAATTTTTCCTTTCTTTTTTCATTTTGTTTGAGGCTGTCTTAGACAGGAATGAGACAGATTCTTAAGATCCATAGTAAGGGGCTAGCAAATCAGTCACTCTCAACTCTGTTTTGTATAGCTTCCTATCATATGTTACATTTTGTTTTGTTTTGTTTTTTTGAGAAAGTGGGTCTTGCTGTAAAGCCCAGGCTGGCCTCAAACCTTGTCTCTGCCTTCCAAGAAGTGCTAAAATTACAGGTGTGTGCCACCACACCCAGTGTGGCTTTAATATATGATGAAATCCTAAATGTCATTTGTAACAGCTATAGTTATATATGACAGGAATACAGTATTCTGTATTATAAAAAGTTCGGGAGTGTTTTGTACATACACACGTACCTTCCTCTGTTGTGTGCTATTCTGTCATCTTATGCACTTGAAGGTATATCTTAATAGTAGTACAGTTTGGCCCTAATGGAGAATATTTGGGTACAGGAAGAATTTTGTCTGTGACTATTCCTTTACATTGATAGTGTCTTATGTCAGTATAAGGCACTCTGCATTATTTGTAGAGTGAACTGTTAATGTGTTGTACACCTTAGTGTATATAGCATGCAAGCTATTTCTGGGGGAAGGCTTTTATTGTTTAATTTTTGAAATGGTAATATAATTACAACATTTCTCCCTTTCCTTTACTCCCCCAAACCTCCTTCCAATATATGACCTCTTTTTTACTAATGGTTATTACATACATATACGTACATACATATTTTTCACATATACACTGCATATGTACATACATACATATATTCCTAATTATAACCTGTTCAGTCTTTACATGTTACTTGTATGTATATTTTCATGACTGTTTGGCACTGGACAACCAATTGGTGTGATTTTTTTTCCTGGGGAAAGCCACATCTCTGATTCCTAGTTTTCCTCAGTTGCCTGTAGTTCTTTGTGTAGGTTTGAGACCTTGTGGGCTTTTCTGTCTAGTTTGGCATGCTCATTGGTGTCATCCTTGTTCAGTTTTGTAGATGTACTCATTGGGACTGGAGTCCACAACTACCCTTTGATTGGCTGTGGCTTTCTGGAGTAGTCTATGGTTGTTGCAAAGAGAAGTTTTCTTGATGAGGGGTGAAGACTACACTTACCTGTAGTATAAGGATGTTAATACATTTGTTGTTAGGGATTTAGTAAATTAGTGATTGTAGTTTCTTCTCCAGTAACCATGACTTCACTAGTATTCAGTGGTTAGCCAGGTTTCCAGTACCAGGCATGGCCTCCCTCTTGTTGAGTCCAGTTAGAGAACTGTTGTTGGTTACTGTCAAGATGTGAGGGTCACTATTGCACCCTTAACGTCATGCCGTGTTGGTCCTTGATGTGGTTCATAGGCATCGTAGCTGGCTGGGTAAGGTTGTTGGCGACTTCTGGTAATATGAAAGCTAGGCCTCAGAGAAGGGAATTCAGGTCAATTCCAGTTCAGGGGTCTGAAGGGCTGGTGTCTTCAGCAATAGAGACTTATTTTCTACTTCTAGAAGGCGACAGCAGTGGATTACAGGGTCTCTTGGACGGCCCTGACCAGCAACTCAAAAGAGGCTTTTCATGTCTAGTATTGGGTTTTTATTTGGAGATCTTTGGCTTTTTGAGGGGGCACCATCAGTCCAGAAAAGTTCATTAAAACTGTGTGTTTATGCACATTTATACACAGAATTACATGTATTACAATTTTTGTTTTTTTGTATGTAAGCAGTTAATAGTATGATTCGTTACCCACCTCTCTCCTCCTGTATTCTCCTTCCTCCACTGTTCCTAGAGAGCCTATCTGCTTTCCAGTTTCCCCAGGGGATCACTTGTGTCCTGCTATTTCTCTTTACCTCCTCCCACTTCTGCATTTTCCGTAAGAACCCCCCCCCCCCCCACACCACCACCACATTGTACATTCATTGTGTGTGTGCCCAGAGAGGCCAGGACGTCTGATCCTTAGAATTGGAGTAAGATGGTTGTGGGCTGCATGAAGTGGGTGCTGTGAACTGAATTTGGCCGTGGAAGAGTAACAAGCGCCCCAATCTCTGAGCCATTCTCCATTGTAGTTATCAGCATCCCATTAAATAACAAATTTTTGTTTAAGTAACAATCAGCATTTTTCTTTTGTTTTCTTCTGAGGGAAGATGTTGACATCGTCTTTCTAGGTAGCCCAAATTGGGCTCAATTTTGTAGAAATCCTCCTGCCTTATCTCCTAGTACTGAAATTAGAGGCATGTACTGCTATGTTTGGCAGTGGTATATTTTACTGGTGATTTATTTTTTATAATATTATTTTATTTTTTGCAGTTATAATTGTACCAATTCCCTTTCTCTTTCTTCCCTCAAACCCCTCCCATGCACCTCCTTAGTCTCTCAAATTTATAACCTTTCCTTTAGTTGTTGCATGTAGTTACACATATACATATAAATATATATATATTTTTCTAAATACAACCTTCTCAGTCTATGTGATGTTACTGTATGTGTATGATCTCAGGCTTGGTACTGGAGAACCAGCTATGGGACTCTTCCCTGTAGAAGACCCATTCACTCTCTGGCATTTTTCTGTTGCCTGCAGTTCTTTGTTTAGACTTGGGGCACTTCAAGCTTCCCTCTTCTGTGTTAGCATGTCCATTGGTATTTTAGTAGTTCAGGTCTTGTTTAGGCAGCCTTGTTAATGAAACTTCATGGGTGTAGACTCTCTGACATTTCTCGGAGATAGAATCTCACAGCAGAATTCCTGTTCCCTTGGTTCTTAAAAATCTTTTCTTCTACTCTTCTGAAATGATCCCTCAGCTTTGTGTTGTACAAATATTGGTTGGGACTGGCTTTTACCAACTGCGTTTTGATCAATTGTGTGTTTTTTGTAATGGTTTCTATTGCAAAGAAAGTTTCTTTGATGAGGAGTGAGAACTACACTTAACCTGTGGGTATGAGGATACGAATTTGGACTATAGTTAGAGATTATGCTGATTTAGTAAAGTGATAATTGTAAATTTCCCTCCAAGATCCACGACTTCACTAACCTTGGGTAGTTGGCTAGGTTTCCAGTACCAGGCATTATTTCCCTCTTGTTGAGCAGGTCTTAAATCCAACGGGGGTGGGGGGGTGGGGAGGGCTGAAGAGATGGCTCAGTGGTTAAGAGCACTGGCCGTTCTTCCAGAGGACCTGGGTTCAATTCCCAGCACCCACATGGCAGCTTACAACTGTCGGTAACTCCAGTTCCAGGGGATCTTATATGACACCTTTGCACCAATGCACATAAAATAAATTAAAAATAAATCCAACTAGAGGAACTATTAGTTACTGACAAGGTGTGTATGCCATGACTGCATCCTTAGGTTATTGTGCCATGCTGGCCATTGTGGGTCACAGATGTTATAGTGGACAGGACTGTTGGTTGCGTCCCTTCCTTAGAAGTTTGCCCGATGCCTTCTAGTAAGGTGAAGGCTAGCCCTTAGGAAGGAGGCTACAGTTCAGGTACAGCACAGGGCCTCTGGGTCCAGTGTCTGAATTGTGTGGTTTCTTCAGCAAGTAGGACTTATCTTCCTCCCCTTGGGGGCAACCAAGGATAACAGCAATGAGTTAGATATTTTGGGAGTCTCTTGGACAGCCCTGACCACCAACTCAAATCTCATGTCTGATGTTAGAGTTTTTGTCTATAGCTTATGGTGGTATTGTCAGCCCAGATTGGAGGATTTCATTTAAACTATATATGCATATGTGTACGCATACTTAGATGCTATTATATGTAATTTTAACTAGATAGATAATAATATGCTTACAACTTTTTCGGACAGTCCTTACTATGATTTCACCCCTTCCCTCTTTCCTCTGTATTTACTTCCCTCCCTCGTTAATTAGGGTCTTCCCATCGCTGTTTTCTCCATCAGGTGACTTGCACCCTACTGTTCCCATCCTTATTCTTCTTCCGTGTCCCATGGTCCCTCTGCATTCACTCCAGGTTACTTACTTAGGTCTGAAGACTTAGAACTAGGAACCACAAATAGAACATGTGACATTTGTCTTCCTAGGTCTCAGTTAACGCCCTCAATAGGATCTTTTCTACTTTTATTCATTTACCGAGAGTCCAATACAGTACATTTTAATTTAAAAAGATTTATTTTATTATTTATTTGTGTGCTTGTGTGTGTGCATGTACTCTAGAAGACCCTTGCTTGAACTCTCTCCCTTCTCTCTACTTTTGTCTGTCTGTGTGCATGCAGGAGTCTCATAGGAACTATAAGAATGAGCTGTCACTGAGCTACATATAACATTTTAATTTTAAAAGACCAGGCTTACATAAAGTGTCAGTTGTGTATGTTCTTTAAAAAGCAGCCAGTTGATAATACAGTACAGGACAAATACAGATTCTAGGATTCTGGGACTTGACTTTTGGAAAGAACCCTGAGGACCCTCGTACAGTGTTTTGCAGCTGAACTGAAGGCTTTTCGTAAGGCCTTGCATTAAGGACATTTCATTTAGTAGAAACCTACTGGTTTGCTTTGATTAGAAATATCTGTTCATTGCTACATAGCTCTAATGTGTAGTGCTACTAACTGAAATTAATATATTTGGAAGTAGATGTTTAGGAAGATTGTGTTTCTTTTGGGTAGAATTCCATGTGCACTGACTGATCAGTAGAGTGTACTTTGCATTTTGAGCTGTTCTCAGCTGCTTTTAT